AGGAATGTAAATGGGGAGAGACTTTCAAATCTATGTGCATTCAGCAAATTGGCTATAGGCGACACAATATTTTCGCACAAACACGTGCACAAAGCTACATGGATCTCGCCGGACTACGCCACAGAGAACCAGATAGATCATATTTGTATCAACAAAAATTCCAAAGGACAATGGAAGATGTGAGAACCAGGAGAGGAGCTGATATAGCTTCAGATCACCACCTGGTTGTGGCCGAGATGAGAATTAAGCTAAAGAAACACTGGACAATTGGACAAACAGCACTACAAAGGTTCAATGAAGACTCCCTTCGAGATACTGATGATGCAACGGATATTCTGGTTTTACAACTAGATACCAGTAGCACCTTCTAAATTCGATTGTTCCCAGTCAGCTAGAAATCAGAAGTCAGACGAGAAGAGGCAGGAAAGATATATTTGGAGGACAACTGGAAAGGGATAAAAGAAGCACTAACTTCAACGTGTCAGGAGGTTCTTGGTCCTAAGAAGCATCATCATCATGAGGAATGGATCTCTATGGGAAACATGGACAATATAGAATAAAGGAAGAAGAAAAAAAACAACAATTTACACCAGTCGAGCACGAGCAAAGAAAATCAAGGAGCATGCAGAGTACGCAGAAGCAAACAAGTAAGTGAAGAAAAGCATTAAAGCCGGCAAGCACAAATACACGGGAGACCTAGCAACGACGGCGAAAAAAGCTGCAAGAGAAGGGAATATCAAACAACTGTCAGTCAGTCAGCTACAACGTAGGACCAGGCACATATACATCGGTCCATGTTGCCATACCTCGTTAGCACAACAAGATGAACACCGGATTAATAGAAGTAGTTAATTTAGTGGTGGTAATATATAAAAGATAGGTTGTATATAAGGATATAGCATAGGAAGGAAGAAAGTTATGAAGCAATTTTAATCTCAAGGTTTAAGGGATGGCGCCCCAAATGCTCTGGTACTGCCGAGAGTGGGGAGTGTTCGCCCTCGCTCTCGAAATGCTCTCACATATATAGCCTCTGCCAGGGAAGTCCTACTCATTGCCTTCTCGTGGCATTACTGTTGATTACAAAATTGAGAGGACGAAAAGCGAATGTCTGAAGCTATAACCGGGTTGGTGGACACGGAAAGTCCACTTATGGGAGTTGGAAAACCCCGATTTCAAAACAATGGTGCACATGGGCTCCAGCATCCTGAAGGAACAAATGGCGTATGAACCAATCGTTGGTCACTGGCTACCATGTGACTGCATCTCCTCACAATACTCCACTGCCTTTATGATTAGGCCTTCAGGTCAAAGGCTCCGGGTGTGACCCCACTAAGAAAACCACCTGCCTCAGTTAGGGCAAAAAGTGTATACACCTACGCCAGTGTGATCAATTCTAGGCCATGTCACACAGAGTCTCCAACGGTTGGTTACGATAGTCGCGCGAACCCTAACCGAGTAGTCTGCATCTACGAACATGGCTGAGAATAGAAGTTAGTGACTTCAAGCACTGATGCCACGTTTCGTTCCTAAAAATTACTTTTGTATTTCTTGTCACTGAGTTCAATCTTAATGGGTCTTCTTAGTGTAGTTTTTCTGCGTCCAGTGAGGCGCAGACAAGTGCCTGCTCGTATTAGAGCATGATCGGAGTCTAAACATGTATTCCAGAACGAGCGACAATCTTCTATCGAGCCTCTAACGTGTGGTGCATATGTATCCGGTGCCCTTTGTACCACTATGTATGTGATTAAATAAATAAATAAAATACTTTACCGATGATTGATGGCAATATGGTCTATTTCAGTCCATCGTTGGTTTGGTGCAGGTGGTCGCCATGTTAGACGATGTCTCTCCTTATGCTTAAAATTAGTGCTTGGTAAAAATAAACGATTGTCTGAGCAAAGTTGCAACAGACGATCACCATTATCAGTTCGTTGAGCCAGAATACTAAAATACCCACCTAAATGTATTTCCGATTGGTTTAAGCTACCTAAAGGGGCATTAAAGTCACGCGCTACGAGTACTATGTCTGAGTGCTTAGCTTTTTCGAGAAGTTAGGAGAGCTTTCTGTAAAAGTCATCTTTCACTTCATCATGGCTGCAGTCAGTGGGATCGTAGGCAGAAACGACGAAAAGGCAACGACGTGTGTCCCTATCCTCCCGAGTTCTTACGGAGCCATTTAGCTGGACAGCACACAGGCGACTGTTAATGGGTTTCCGTTTTAGTAGTGCTTGTTCTGCCTTTGTACTAAGTGCTATGCCTACACCTGCAAGTCCACGAGAACTAGTCATGGGGTCGCCAGATACACGGACGGTGTATTTCGTTCGCTGTCCATTTTAGCGAGGTGAGTTCAAGTGAATGACCACACTAAGATCCTGCATGCGTGTTTCGGAGACATAGCATACATCAATCGTACGAGATTCTAGGGTTTTAGCCAAGGAGGCCTGTTGACCGATTTGACTTAGGGTACGTACGTTGAAGGCTCCAATGTGTAGTTTGGATCGAGGTTTTAGAAAACTTTTTCAGGACGTTAGATTACCTATCAGAATGATCAGATGTTTTCCTTAGAAATCCTCTACGATGGACTGCCGCATCCCATAAAACTGATGTTTATCTTCGTCGCTATCATTTGTAGATGACATTCATTGCAATCCCTTATTTTGTTATAGAGAATGCTTTAGTGATCCTAGAGCCATTAGATCCCCATCCTATAAGCATTTTTTGTGCTTCTTTGAAGAGCATCAGTGCAGCTCCTCATGTGTGCAGACCATTTTATTCTCTATGACTAGAATATAACAACGTATCTCCCGAAGCTAGTCTTTTCTGTCCGGTTTTTGTCGAATAAGTTTAAATTCTTCCAAGCACAGCCAGGTTGTATATCATGTCTGCCATTTAAATGTCTCTCCCGATTCCCCACATTGTTCAGACATTTTATGTGCCTTTATTAATTGTTGCTTTTGTTGTCAGAAATAAGGTTAGTCTCGTGTCGTCTTATCGTGCTGCAGCATATTTAATCAGGGAATACCGGTGAGGAACATGGTAAAGAACATGGACGACCTTTGAACGAATCTTAAATGACCTTGAGAAATATTGGCCAATCAGAAGACAATTAGCATACAATAAAAATATATTATACAAAACTCAAAAATTAAAAGGGAAACTGTTCTTTTACATGCATTAAAAACTTATCAAGGTCAGATATAGGTTCAGAAGTTCTAAAATCATAGTGCATCCGGCACAGGAACTCATCCCTGTGGCTCCATAATAGTCGACATCTGGAACCATGATAAAGTCCCGAAAATTCTTTCAGCCTCGATCACATAGTTTCAGTGTTGTCGGTTGTTAGTATGGTTTAGGATTAGGGTTACGGTTTAGGGTTAAAGATGAGACCATAAATAATGGACGACATTTGAGCGACGCTAGAGTGAATCTGAGAGTGTCAACGTAATAACTAAGACTAAATGAGGGTTATAAACCCGTATGAAGATTTCAAATTATGATTTACAGTCCATGGTTAAGGTTATGAATTTTACTTAGGGTTTTCACGAACTGACATCAGCTATAATGCCACAACTCAATCCAAATATATAATTGAATTTTGCGCCAAAATCTTATGGTAACATATCTTGTAGACGCTTAATTATCATGTTTTCTCTAAAATCCTTTGTAAACTGACCGTACGTAAGCGTCAGGTACAGAACTTAGCGCTGTGACCTTGAAAACCCGCGAAAGCTTCTGATTGGCTCGTCCATGTTCTTTAGTCTCGCCAAATCAATTCACACACTTGTAAGTTTACGTTCATTTTGTTGTCTAAAGTTATACCAAAACTTTCCAACCTAAACATCCTCAAAGATAATTTGACTGGAGTATCAATTTTTTTATTTATTTGAGTCAGTATTATAACTATAACCATAAAAACAGATGAAGTAATTAGTCTCTTTGATAAATTTCGATGGTGTAATAAGAATACGAAGATTATTAGAACTATGTGATGTATTAGCGCAATACATTTCGAACAATCTGATCACACATATACTTGTTAAGAACATTTATATATAAACACTAAAGGTCAACCAGACTAGAAATGGAGGATAAGAGGAAACAAGGATAATAAAGAAAAGTAATGTGAAAACAATTTGGAACCTCATCACTCCGAATAATCAGCTAATATTACTGGTTGACTTTTTATTTTTATATGTGTTCTTAACAAGTATACGTGTTATCCGACTGCTCGAAATGTATTACGCCAATATATCACATAGCTCTAATAATCTTCGTATTCTTAATACACTATCGAAAGAGAGGACAAAGTATCTTGCCATCTATTCAATCAAAAAAACCCTAAAGTCACTGTTTCTAAGGCCTAGAAAATTCCTTTACAAGAGCCAAAAGAGGCTACGAAAACATTGAGAGACTTCTTACGCAATCAGCATTCAATAGAAGTCTTGCCAGAAACATCTAGAAAGGGAAAAGTCACGTGTCGCGTTTCTGGCTGGATGATTACCTATACTGCTACTACATTTAAGTATCGCCCCAGACTTTTCCGAAAACTGAAGGCCATCTAAAATGCTATAAATACCTTAGGTTTTCTGTACATGAACAAAACTTGAATTGAAGCTTTTCTTCCATATTTTGCGCCTTTTCTCTCATGTTCAAGTTGTTACCTGGGGGCTACTAGAAGAGAGCTTATAAACCGAACCTAGCGTTCATTTCGAAGACTTATCAATCAGGTTACAAGTAAAGTTTCTGTATGATATCAGAATCTGAATACCAAATCTATCCTAGATAACTTAGTCCCACTCTTGATATTAATACATATCATTTATATTTCCACATTTACTTTTCCCTACTATCATTAATTTAGCTTAGATTCTGTGTACAATGAACACTTACTTACTATAAGCCAGTTACAAGATGAGATCAAATCACTCAAACGTCAATTAACACTTAAAGACTTTGACTTGTTAACTAAAGATCGTACAATAGCAGAACTACGCTCTGAAATGATTGAAGTAAAATCAATGAATGAGGATCGTGTCCGAAAAATAAAATCAACTGCACAACTTGAACAAGATCGGTTGCTAGTAAGTTTGTTTTCTTCGCGACAATTTAATGCATTGATTTTCTCGAATATATTTTTTACAAATCAAACATCTGATCCATGTGATTAAGCAGTAAGGCTAAAAAGGAGAATTAATCCGTTTGTTTTCTATCCAGTTAGTTGTTTATAACTCAAAATAATCATAAGCTTTTTATTTAGGATTTGTTTGGAAATGTTTATAAGTTTTGTTATGCTTTGAGCGTCATAGATACTTGCTTCCTAGTCCCCGGAAATCTTGCTCTATTAAGTTGTAAACAAAAATTGCAGATGCCTTACTTCAAACGCTAAGTGGTGTACAGAAAACATGATTTGGTATAGGGTTGTGAACGGTTTTAAATGTTAAAAGTTTTTGAGAAGAAGCGAAGTTAGTGGAACAACTTAGTAATTATCTAGTCAGAATAAGGAAAGGACGATTAGCTGATTTCTGGATTTTTCTGGGGAGTTTTCAATAAGCGCTAGTTGGCTAAAGTACTTTCGGCTTTTCCCCTTGTCTTTAGAGAACTTCGTAAAGAACGATCAAAAACTATCAATTTTAAATATAATTCTAATTTTTTCACTCAGTACTTGACCGTACCTTGTCTTCTTTTTCTCTAGGCTACAATACGCCAGTTACAAAAAGAGAAGGCAATGGTTAGTCATAATACTAAACGTCGTAAAATTAATAACAATCTGTTAAAAATTACAAACCGACATTCTTTGTCTTCGACAGCCTTATTCAATCCAGATTCGCCGCTTAGTTTGGGCTCTGCGAAACGAGTTACCAAGCCTTCAGTACTTGAAAGCCAACGTAAAGAACGCGGAGGCGAAGAAACAATGTCTTACTCAGATCGAATATCGAAAAATACACTGGACTCAACAAGTTCAGTTAAAAGGCAACTTACACCTGACAGTATTGGTGTACAGATTTACGACGAAGACTCAAACTTAGCACCTCAACGTACAGTTACTTCTGGTGTCAAACAAAACAACTCAAGTTCACCAAATAATACTCCAAGTATATCATCCGAACCTCCTACAGATGAAGAAGAAACATCTCAACCGTATCATTATGATCTTCAAGAAATATCTGGAAAAAACCCTCTTGGGTTGGATACGCCATCGGAGTCTGAAAATGAAACACCCGACTGAGACTCTTCGTAAACTATCAATATTTTGACTCTCCACTTCTGTTTCACATAAAAAACGTAGGCAATTACTTTTTTTATAACACACCACTAGTAAGACTTTTAATTGTCAAGTGGTCTGTTTTTATAACGTCATTGTCACATTCATTTTTGCTTATTGGCTTGATTCAATCATTCACACACTTCTTATATGGAAAGTATGACAGTTCTGTTTGTTTTATTTAATTAGTTTAGGAGGGAGTTAAATTTCACTCCCTCTAAATATAATGTCATATACTTGTATATTCAATTAAATGTATCATGTTGTTTCTACGTTCTACAAACAATTCAGAATAACTAATTGTTTGTATATTATCTAAAAACAAGTCAACTCACAATAAATATATCATTTGCAGATTTAAAACTAGTCCTTTTGATAGTTTTGATGATATTCATGTTCGCGTTACGCCATTGAATGCGCATATCGGTTATGATTTCCCTTGAAAATTCGTCAATCCGCAAATGCACTTGTCACTGATTCTCACTAGCAATCAACCCTGAAGAGTTTCACTAGTCAGCACATAATTATCAGTATAGGGTTGTGGAGCCTGTTCAGTTCACATTGATATCATCAACGGTGGATGAATGTTAGAGCTGGAAGTAGTGAACTGCCGTTTGGTCGTAGTATGGGACTGGTGAGCAGTAGGTATGGACGATGCCACACGTGCGACTGGAACGCACCTTAGGTCTCACGTGTCCAGTCTTACTTATTGTCTGTTTTTCGTGTGTAAAATAAATCACACGTAAATATATTGAATGGGCTTTCTAATATCTCTCCTAGGTGTACCTGGTTGGAATAATCTCCGTCAGCATATTCGTATTTAGCTGCTATTACCACCACAGGAAAATGAGGTTAACTAACGTACCATATGTGAAACTAGTTGAGGCATTGAATTTCGTTATAGTCGTCATCCATGAAGTCCACTAACAGCTACAACCCATTGTCTTATGTAATAAACTTGTTTCAGTGACTATAATTATGAGCAATAGACAAAACAACTTCAATAGATCGTCAAGGCAATATACAGCTCGACATGACAATAATGAGAGGTTAAAGAAGATATATTCCGATAGTGTAATAAGAAGACGAAGATTATCAGAACTACTTCATATATTAGCGCAATACATTTCGAACAATCTAATCACACATATGCTTGTTAAAAAATTAATGCCCAATTCAGAAATCTATATGAATAACTGAGTACTCTAACCCCCAGGTCTTTAAATAATCAAAGCTGGTGTAAAGCTAAACTGGTGGACATAGCACACCAATTTCATAATCTTGGACCAAAGCAGAGAAACGTATTAACTTCTCAGTATTTTAAATCACTAAAAGAACTACGTTCAAACCCTGATGTCTTGTTGAAGGATAAAGGATCAGGCGTGGTTATCATGAACATTTGTGAATGTAAAAGTAAGATGTTATCCATCCTCAAGGATGAAAGTAAATTTATGCCTGATTGTTATATCGATTGCTTGAGCGCCCTGTTAATATATATGAACGTGCTGGTTCCCGCCAATCAGAGAGGAGTGAATTATCGATCAGAGCAATCATACACAAAAGCCGTATGAACAGTCTTGCGTAGTTATCAATCCTGCTTTTTGCCAAGCCCAGCCAGTTCAGAACACCAATAACAGCATCTGCAATATGAATCCTTATTCTCAAACATACTGGGTTTATATACCAAGCAAAGTGACCACATCTTACCATAAAATAGAAAATAATATTTGTACAAGATTTAGCCAAATGTGGATGTATATTGATCAAAATAAAGCTTATAATGAAAGGAGCATGAATAGCTAAGTGACTTAAGAATTATACAATGGGAATTATACGTAGCATATTGGTCGATAAGTAGCTCTCAAAGTTACCATTTATAAATCGCTTCGGCATATAACACAAATGTTAAAATTGAAGGTATTAGCAAACTAGAGGGAAGAGCAAATTCAAACCTTGAAAAATTGTTACACATGAATACTATTGATAAAGGGTAACACCTAAAATTGAATCGCGCCTACCCAGTGAAATCAGAAGCGAGGAGGTTGGAATATATATTTGATAGATTATCAATACATCGAGAAGTGACTGATCTAATCTGGCTAGTGATCGCAGGAGACGTTAAGCACGCTGTTCCAGCTCATGATCTGGTGTGGATTCATGACTGAGAGCCTTCAGCTAGGTGAGCCCATTGAAACTAATGTGTTCAGCATTCAATGTGGTACACTTACAGAGCTATTGATTTTGGGGATTTATTTACCGCAACAACTTAAAAACTACTGCACACTGTTGTGGAGTAGTCGTCAAAGGTTTTAGAATCCTGTAGTCAATACGTAGGGCCTTTAGTCATATCAATGCTAAAACTTTATCGATTTTGTAAACAGTAATCATGAGTCCTAAGCTGAAGTACTGCATACAAGTGGTTAGCCTCTGCTTAAAAAATACAGTAGGCTTTTGGAAAAGGTTCAGAGAACAGCAACTAAGTTGATTCGCGGTTGAGCTAAGTCTATTCCCGTTGTCATATCGAAGAACTAGAGGTGGCTTGATTTTAGACTTGGCGTTTATCTGACATTTCATTCTAATTTTTGAGTGGAATAGCGATCCACACAAAGTTCGCGTATCTGGAACCGTTAAGTTATTCTTGTTAAGCTATTTTCTGGACATTATCAAGTTTTAAACAAAGTTGGAGAAGTTAAGTAAATAATTTAGTACCATAGATCAAGTTACGAGGCAACAATCGAGCTAACGTGTGCTATAGAAGACACATTACTTACTTACTTACGCCTTCTTTTCTAGTTCTATCCAGTTCTTGTTCATTCTTCTCATGTCTGTCTCTATTTCTCGGCGTAATGTGTTCTTTGGTCTTCCGCTTCTCCTTTGACCTTCAGGATTCCATGTGAAGGCTTGTCTTGTGACGCAATTAGGTGATTTCCTCAAGGTGTGCCCAATCCACTTCCAGCGCTTCTTCCTGATTTCTTCCTCTGCTGGAATCTGGTTTGTTCTCTCCCACAGTAACTTGTTGCTGATAGTGTCTGGCCACCTGATCCGAAGTAGACAGCTGTTAATAAACACTTGTATCTTCTGGATGATGGCTTTCGTAGTTTTCCACGTCTCCGCTCCATACAGTAGAACTGTCTTCACATTTGTATTGAAAATTCTAACCTTGGTGTTGGTTGACAATTGTTTTGAGTTCCAGATGTTTTTCAGTTGTAGATACGTTGCTCTTGCTTTACCGATCCGCGCCCTCACATCTGCATATGATCCACCGTGTTCATCAATGATGCTGCCCAGATATGTAGAGGTTTCCACATCCTCCAAAGCTTCTCCATCAAGTGTAATTTGATTGGTGCATATTGTATTGTATCGGAGAGTCCTGCTTTTCTCTTTGTTTATATTGAGACCTACTGCTGCTGAGGCTGCTGCTACACTGGTCGTTTTCTCCTGCATTTGTTGTTGCGTTTGTGATAGAAGAGCCAGATCATCCGCGAAGTCTAAATCGTCAAGCTGCATCCTGCCTGTCCACTGTATCCCGTGCATTCCTCCAGATGTTGACGTCTTCATGATCCAGTCGATGACCAGGAGAAAGAGAAAGGGTGAGAGTAAGCAACCTTGCGTAACACCGGTCTTTACCTCGAACGAGTCGGTGAGTTGCCCTCCGTGGACGATTTGGCAGTTTAGTCCATCATAGGAGTTCCGTATGATGTTGACTATCTTCTCAGGCACGCCGTAGTGTCGAAGAAGCTTCCATAGTGTCGTTGTTGTCCAACCTGCGTTCAATGTGTTTCACTGATTCCAAGCACCTCCAGGTTGTATTTTCTTCTTTCTGCAGCAATTTGGACGAGATGATGACTCAATCGAACGACCCATTTTTCGAGAACCAACGTGGACAGGCCAATACCTTAGTGACTATAGTTACTGTCCTGTATAATACAAACGGGGTTTGATAAGGTGTCTTATTTAACAGGCTTGATCGTATTTGCACAAATGTCGCTATTGATGATGATGTCAAGTTGTTAAACAAGATATTAATGAGGAAGGGTTATCCACTCAAACTTATAAATACACGGAAAGTTCATGGTACAGTGAGACCTACTGTAGACTTGGTGGAAAAAAGCCTGTCTACATCACCTTACCATTTAGAGGTGATTCAAATATCCTTTCATTGAAACAAAGGCTTAAATCAGTCATCAACAAAACGTATTGCGCGGCGAAGGTCATTAGCAAAGAAAGAACGAGGTCCATGCTTCATGCAAAACCTAAAAGACATGAAAACGATCGTCACATCCCACTGCGTTTACCAATTCAAATGTATGTGTGATCACAAATACATAGGGAGGAGCAATCGTGATCTGAGAATGACATTAAATTCACGTCGATTTTTCACACCCCTTTTGAAAAAAAATTTCATCCCATTTTCCAATTTTTTCATTCCGCTTCGTCCGATGAAATTCCTAGTTGTAAATGCGTTATAATTGGTTATATATTTTTTGAAATTTGTATAAAAGATCTGTACTTGTGGACAGAGATAATTTTCTTCACAATATGAACGATAGTAACGTGCAAGGTACGGGCTCTGTTGTTTCTCACGTTGTCACAGAAAAGGATGATGTATTTCTGATTACATTGTATCTGGTTACGTCCAACTCACAAACACAATAATCGTTTTACATGTCTGCGTACACAAACAAGTATTTTTGGTGATCAATAATAAGTGGTCAACTGCAAATGAAATACAGGTCAAAATATTTCATGCTTTTAATGGATTTACAAAAAAACATGATAACAATCTTGCGTTCATTTCCGACACCTTTTTTAAGGCTAAACTGAAGAACTTTTTTGTATTAAGAATAACAGTTTGCAAAACAAACGAATTATAAAGATTATCTGCTTTTTTCTTAGATATTATTACTACTTTCAGATAGCGTAAACGTTGCTTCATTTACCCATCCTTTACGGTTAGCGTGATTTTGGCATGCTCCATTCATCTTTTCTTGATCATGATTTATTAATAGGTTGACGTTTATTAAAAGAGCGAACTGTGTTAAAATAACTTATGAGAATACTTAGATGAAAATTTGTTTACTAATGGTGTATGAAACATTAAACTACCTATCAAATTCAATAATCATCATTATCAACTATTAAAAACATGTCAGTTTTTTCACAAATTATCTTACAATGATCTACATATTATTGCTCTTGACACGATAACTGACAACTTCATTTGCATTTCCACATGATTGAAAAAACATATCCCGATATACATTCACTGACAGGGGTATAGCAGCGTAATCAAATGAATTTTTTTCCGAAGTTAAAATTTTGTTCAACACTCAGATGGAACAGTGCGAAAATAGTTAATTATTGTAAATAATAATCGGATGGAAAAATGTCAATTCTTACATCCAATAGTTCGATTTGAACGAATCAGATTACAAAGCTGCATCATTCACAGCCAAATAAAAATTATTACAGATGACAAAAGGTTTGTTCACTTTCAGTTGGGCACACACAATCAAAAACGAGTTCACTAATCACTAATTGCTAAAAAATTTTCCACATCCTTAAGTTTCGAAAAAAGAGTGGTAGGGGGTCATATGTGCCGTGAAATTAATGTCAGCCACACTTTTATACAACACAAAAGCCGAGTTTAGATCAATCTTATGGCCTGTTTCAATTATACGTTTGGCAATAGAGGGTGATAGACGTTCATCCTCAACTCTTATTGGGTCATTTGATTCTATCTGTTTCTGCAACCATTTTGGTACATGTTCACATACCCAAATTTTCAGATCACGGTTGAACATGTACCGAAATGGTTGCAGAAACAGATAGAATCAAATGACCCGATAAGAGTTGAGGATGAACATCCATCACCCGCTATTGCCAAACATATAATCGAAACAGGCCATAGGGTTGATATAAACTCCGCTTTCGTGGTATTGTATAAAAATGTCAAAGGACGTACACTGAGGTTTATTGAAGCCTTAGCCATACGAAAATTCAAACCCCCATTGTGTATTCAAAACAGTATGTTCTCACCTTAAACCTACCCTGGTAATATTTGCTTATTACCCAGAGAGATTAGGTTTCAAATTGTTTTCACAATATTTTTATTATAATCCTTGAGTCTTACCCACCATTTCCAATTTAGTTGACCATTTATGTTTATATATACATGTTCTTAACAAGTATATGTGTGACCAGATTGTTCAAAATGTATTGCGCTAATATATCACATAGTTCTGATAATCTTCCTATTCTTATTACACTATCGAAATTTAACAAAGGGACCAATCGCTTCAAATTTCTTAGAAGATATATTCGATAGAAGTTTATTTTCAAGCTAAAAAGTTGTACGACAGTTAACGTAGTTATACAAACGATAATACTAGTTTTAACACATATGGATAGTTGATGACTACCTGTTATTTAATTAAAGCAAATTAGAACCCCACCTAGAAAAATTAAGAAAACAAAACACTGAAAACTATTTTCCCAAATAGATTTTTTTAAAAGAAAACACTGAAAACTAATACTATTATAGAGACTACTAAGGTCTTACCCAAATAAAAGCTGAATGAAGTGCCATTCAAAAGCATCATTACAGAGGTCTACGGTAAGATAAATTGTTTACGGAAAGAGGCAAGAAAGATAGCACATATATATAATTATTCTTTAAGTAGTAACTGAAGAGGTTCAATAAAGCCTAGACCAGGACCAACCAATGAAAATGCTGCTTGATGATTCGTCACAGTTTTGTTTAAAGCCTGATAATTTTACGAGCAGCATAAAAAAAAATAGAAAAGTATTTAAAAAATGAATTACGAAACAGCACTGTTGTATAGCCAATATATACAGAGAGTACTTAATATTTAACCATTAAAACAGCACTCAAGGACCTGCAGCTCTATTAGTTATAGATCTATATGGTAATGAGTTACAATACAATAGTAGTATATGAGGAACATTCCGGTGAAGGGTCCGAATTAGGGAAAAATACGCGTGAATATTTAAACTGCTAGACACTATCGACGTCTCATTAAACTAGGCGTGGCCCCCTAAGAAAACCACCTGCTTTGGTCTGGATACACGAGCAGTATCATAGCCCCCACACAATTAAATGAAATGACGGTTTTTGTGTGGTGTATATCTATTTGGTGCCCCCTTATACCAATATTTGCGTTCAAATAAATAAATAAATTAGTTCCCATATCAGAGATGAGGAACAGTGACTTGCAACCACAGAGCTCCTTGCTCTATAAAACCAACCGGTTAAGATATAAGGCATACATTATCCCATACGATTTATGAAAAAGGTTGCACATTATAGCGATCTCGTCATTTGATAGCGAAAGATATGAAGCGGTGAGGTTTAAACTGGAATGTAAAGAACAGGATATCCAATTAATGGCTTATATTGTAGCTCTGAATCTAATGAGTCCCTTCTAGGTAAAATGTAATCCTGGTAACATGGAAAAAACCTTACAGTGAATAACTTTAGCACACTCCCTACTAATTGGGTAGACCATTGGACAGAATCACCAACAAATTCGTTCGATCACGAATTACTGGAATCCTTATTATCATTAGCTTTTATCCAGCATATCAAAGATGGGACTGGATACAACCCTCGATACTCTACGTCAATTGCATACTTGAGTTTCTCATAGAAAACCTTGGGGAAAGTGACCAAACATTCATCGTATTTACTTTCCTTGCCGCTATAACCCACCGTATTGCTACACTAGCCCGTCCTAACAACTGGGAAGCTGACATAGTGTGGATAAACTTAATGGTTGATTCAAAAGACTGAAAAGTTGAAATTGATTCAGAAACCTCATTTGAAGGAGCTCAATAATCAGGTGACGGAACCGTTTTTAACTAGTTCAATCTCAAAGGAAAAAAACACCGCCATCCACTAGTCCAATCAAGAAATTCTTTGTTCGCTGCTGCAGAAGAAACAACACTGAGAAGTCGCTGCAAAGCAATATCCAGGCAGTCCGTACAGAATGCACATATGTCAAAAGAGACTGATCAACTGCAGTCATGAATATCAGTGAACAGATTCAAGCAACTAACATTTCGGAATTCTTTAATAAGGGTGAGTGTGGAAGGAAAATCTCAATATACGCGGAAATCAGAGTGGTGATCTAGCAACGTAATACCAACACTTGTAAATAAAATAATAGTCTATTATTAATATTATTCATTATCTAAACACATAAACATTGGTACAAGGAAGCACCAAATAAATCATTCGATTTGCGTGAGAGCTGGGATACTGTTCAGGTGCCCAGACAAAGCAAGTGATTTTTTAAGGGCTCACACTCGGAGCCTTTTACATGAAGGCCTAATCCAAAAGGCAGCGGAGCATCGTAAGGAGATGCAGTCCCATGATAGCCGGAGACCAATAATTGGTTCATATGCCATTTATTCCCTCAGGATACTGAAGCCCATCTGCACTATTGTTTTGAAATCAGGGTTTTCCAACTCCCATAGGTGGACTTTCCGTGTCCACCAACCCGGTTATAGCTTCAGACATTCGCTTTTCGTCCTCTCAATTTCGTAAACAATACTTCAGACGTGAGAAGGCAGTGAGCAAGACTTCTCCGGCAGTAGTTGTATGCACGTAGCCACGTAAGGGCATTTCGAGAGGGAGGGCTGACTCTCCGCAACTTACTGAGTAATACTAACTTCATGTACTTCCACTTTGCGTGGCGTTGCTAGATTCCTGCAACGAATTTTTCGGTTTCAAATTCATACAAACCCTGTTCATTTTATAGAGCGTTAATGAATTTCTATATTTCTGGATGAATGGGCTCACCGAGTTGATTAGAACCATTATCGATTCCCCAACACACTATTCGCCTTAGGAAGGTCATCCACAACAATACTGCGAGTGTCCCACAGTACTATATGGAAATTTGTATCTCTACCAATAAATGTGGAAGTTACTAAAAATACGATCACACGGCTTAAAACGATATCACTGATACGAAAATTTTATTCGCTAGAACGTCTTTAAAATAGCTCGCTAATGTTTCAATTTCTTGTTAATTCTATATGCACGATCGTAACTCCAACAAAATGTCAAATCCAGTAACGATATCTGCGACCGACACAACGTTAATGCTGCCAACTGACGGACCTACAAAATGAAGCCTTTTTATATGTCGTATAACGTTGCTGAAGGTTTGATCACTGCTGCAGTCTCCGCCAGATACATTAGCTTATAGGAAACAGTTAGTCAGCTACAACGTGTGGTCAGGCACCTATATGCATCAGTCCAAGTTACCATACCTCATTAGCACAAAATAAACACCAACTTCATAGAAGTAGTTACTTCAATGGTAGAAATATATAAAAGAAAGATTGTGCATAAGGATATAATACAGGAAGAAAGAATTAGTTCGTAGAAAGAAAGGTGTAATTAATTTTAATCTCACGGTTTAAGGGAAAAAAACCATTGTGACCGATTCTGAGCCATGTCATCCAGAGTCTCCAACCATTAGTTACGATAGTCGCGCGGACTAAATAGTCTGCATCTACCAACACGACTCAGATCAGAAGTTAGTGACTTCAAACACTGATGCCATGTTTTGGTTTGGCCGTCCCTAACATTCTTCCAACCATCCCCTACACTAGTCAGCATTGCGCGTTGTGGGAATCGGTGTTCAGGCATACGTAACACGTGGCTCAACCATCTCAGTCGATGTAGATGCACAGCTCCATCAACCGGTTTACTATCATTCTCTAAACAATCCATCCAACCTCACTATTACTTACCCGGTGATCCCAGTAGATGTGAGCGATATTTCCAAAACATTTGTGATCAAATACTAGTAACTTACGAGTATCCTCGACCCTTAATGGCAACGTTTCGCAGCCACAAAGTAGAACGGAACAAACTGCCGCATACTATACTCACCCGCCAATTGATAGACGGATATCTCGTTTTCGACATAGGTAACGTAAGTTGGCAAAAGACAAACGAGCTTTCTGAATCCGTGTTGCGATTTCGTCAGAAACCAACCCATTAGGGCCGATCAAACTTCCAAGATAAGTCGAGTTGCCGACGCGTTCGATTACTTCACTGCTCTTTTACTATCTTGATTACCTTTTTGGATCCAATGTAGCTGATATTTGAATGTCTCCCATCGGTGTTATATCAGAGTGCATTTGAAGATTTAACTTACAGAACTATTCTTTGGGGAATTATTGTGTATTTTGATTGTATGATTATTAGGTACTGCAATTACTGTATTTTTATATCGTCATATCTATAAGCTTTCATTAAATATGTTAACTTTCGAAATACCCTTTACCATTCCTAAATTACTAATGTTTAATTATTCTCATAATGCTTTAAACTTAAACAGCGAAATTTGGATATTAGAAATACATGGTTTGTTGAATAGTGATAAGGGAAGTAACAAACTGATTTATTAAGTAATAATATAATAAAAACATACGGCGCCGTATTCGTTTTTGTTACAATCAAGTAATCTTTTTACTTTGCAACTATTTTTGCTAACTAAGACTCGATTGTCAAGGCACTTAAATGGTCCTAAAGAAGCGTTTATGCTCATTAGGACTACAAAAAACTCTCTACGTTATTCATTCAATAAAGTTTGTCACATTAATATAAGGAGCTCATAAAATCAGAAATTCTAGTCAGATATTTTGCCCTATCATAACGAAGTGTACAGGTTTTGTCTTCATTAGGGAAAGAGAAAGTATAATAACGGGCGATCTCCAATTTTAAGAAAAAACTTCGTTATAACTGTTATAGTACTAAACTTTGAAGGGCAAGATTAAGGAATCCAAACATTCTAGGGTATGAAAGGTTTGATAGCATTACTAGCTACTGTAAAATAACTTACGTTAACAGTTATCCTGCAAACATCGAAAACCTTACACTTCGCATAAGTATTTAAATGCAGCATCGTATCTAATCTGATTTAAGTTATGGGACGTGATCCTCCCAAAATGCTAACTACAGATGTTTGGATTTTTCAAAAACTGAACGATTAAATCTTGATTAATTGGCACTGTCAAACATGTAGTTAGAATATTTTAATAAAAAAGACAATAAAAGCGTCAGGTAAAATGCAAAGAAACTAAGATACCCAGGCGGAGCCAGGAAATACAAGGTTCGAACCTAATGTTCATATGTCAAGTAATTTAACCACTAAGGTATTATTCCTTCAATTAGCCTGGTAGAACCAGTTAAGTACGACGTTCATACATCGTAAAATGAATTTGTGTGTACTACAGAAGTTGTTTTGCAACTGATATTGATTTGTTCTTCTTCAGAATAGCAAGTAATAATAAAATTAGCACAACACATTTCATGATCTATCATCTTAGAATTGATATTTGACTAGCGGATACAATATGTACAACGTGTTTAAGTGTTACCAAATACTTTGCATAGAGGCTGTAACTCCCTCTTATTTGAAAAGCGAGATAATCAATATGGATAAAAAACAACTAGTAGACATAGCCACTTACATCATTAACAGATTTCAAGTCAACCTTATCCAAACCAGCAACTACTTCAATCGGTTTTAGAAATTGATCAACTGGTGATGAAAGCAAATTAGTAGAAATATCCACAAGAGAATATAATGGGTTTTCGTACCTGAACATTAGATCAGCTTTTAGAGTTTGCCTAAATGCAAGAGTGAATATATGATAATAACGAATCACAAATGAAATACAAATACATAATCCGAACATATACACGAAGTCATAATACTGACATCAAGTAGTAAAATACCCATATCTTAGTATATAACTGCATAAATTTGACTACTTTAACTGAACAACAATGAAATTATTTTTCAACATGAGTCCAATCAATAAAATCAGAATCATTAAATTAAAATATATAAACTTCAACTGCATAACACTTATCCGTTGGAAATGACTTCACTACATGCTTAATATTTCTAAATTGAACGTATGGAACAGAAATGTAGATGTCATCTACGGCTAAAGATAGGTAATATAAATGCAATAATCAAGAACTTTATCACTATTTATTCACTGATATCATGAGCAATACTATTGAGTGTAATTATAAAACTTTTTCTGTATGTGAATCCTTTCCCTTACATCACATCTAAAGCACTAGAGTTTCCTCAACAAGTAAGATAAATAGTTGTATTATTTTTATCTAATTCATATCGAAGACAATATTACAGTTATTTAGTGCCTAAGATGGATATTTATCGTATTATTAAACACATTATAACGCACTAGTAATAGGACAGTCTTACTTTGCTTGTCTGAGATTTTCCTCAGTAAAACTTGAAGACCGTAAAACCGAAATGATACGCTTGATTCTAGATCCAACTGCTTTAGGACAAGCTCCAGCTACAGCGATACCGAAAAGACTATGATCAATATACAGTTTATGGAAAGCTACAACTTCAGTTTCAATGTCTCCTTCTACAGCGGTACGAGCTAGCAAGGATTTTGAAGCGTTCCGGCCATGCTTTATACGATTGGATGACCCATTCAATGCGCAGACAATCAGACCACTAATTGTACAGGATCCACGCATAGGCCATGCTAAGTAAGCGTACACTGTGGGCGCGGCATTCAAATCTCGTCGTATTTCGCCTAAAATGGAAATCAGGATAAAATCAAATTAGTGTTAACTTTGAAGCACTAAAGCGACAAATTGAAATCTAGTGATTTTTTATGGTTTATTGACCATCCGTTACTAATAACTAAACATTCGAAAATTTTTAGATATACAATGAAAAATACTGTGTAACTAATAGTTTTTTTTATTTGAAGTACTGTGACTCCTAGTACACAGTTCTATTTTGAAATGAAGGCAATCAGTCGTTTACTGTTGTCATTCTGGTGTGATGGGTTGAAAAGGTAAAATTGCATTATTTAACTCTTTGTTGTTATATCCTAGTGAAGACAGAAGTACAGGTAACTCCCGTGACCTATTAATGGACGATTATTCTATACATATTCTTATTGTATAACTATTCAGTGATTAAATTTAATCTATATATATTCATCTTATTACGAGCTTTATTTTGACCTATAAATTATTATTATACGAATTACTGTTCCTAAATTATACTCAGTTTGTTGGTTACTGTTTCCCACGTTCACAGCCACATTTGGCTTGATCTTGTACCAATATTACTTTCTATTTTATGGTGTGATGAGGTCTGTCTGTCTGTCTAATATATAAACAGAGTATGCTTGAAATAAATGATTCGCATAGCAGAAGCTGTAATTGGTGTTCTGGACTGAATTGGAAGGGCTAAGCAGACAAGGGACCAATAAGGACGCTAGACTGCTCATACCCGTTGAACGTCATTAATTTGGTAGAGTGTTAAGATCAGAAAAGTCGTATTTCGATTGGTGGATAATTCGCGTGATAAAAGCCGGACATAAAATCGTAATGAATTGGCGACGGCCTTTTATAAAGTCATAACGATTGTGATTTTTGTTCAACATTACTTTCGTTTTCAATTCAATGTAGGGAGTACTCAGAGCAAAATTTATTTTGTTTTTCGGTGTGATATTTTATTCGGTATAACAATTTATTTGAGTGTGATATTTATTCAAGATACAATATTCATGAATTAAATTAAAATGTACTGCGCTCAACATGACATGCACCACATGATTTTTCATAACTCTGGGTACTTTTTATATCCGTGCTTTTATTCTAATTATTAATTAAAATGGGTGTACAATTAATATATAAATGAATGTATCTTCGACTAGGGTCGTCGTGGTGTTTTGGGGTTAATAAATCTTCAATTGTGCCAGTCTTGGTATTCGTAAGTCGTGTCATAGAAATTGCAGTGATTTTGATGGAGTTTTGTTCTCTGAGCTGGATGGCTTGGTCGCGGAGCTTCCATCGTTATTCTGAACGACATCATCAGCACAAACTTTACTTCTACCTGAAAGCTCCGCGACGAAGCCATCCAGCTCAAAGAACAAAACTATCAAGATCATCCACCTGAGCTACAAATCTTCTCCATCATCTCAAATTGCAGTGATTCCTCGTTTTTTTCAAGTTTAGGTAATAAGCGACGCAAATATAACATATTTTTACCCAACATCACTTTATAGGCATATCAGTGAGGGTGATTTTATGTACTTTCAACTATTTGACAACCTGTCTTTTTCTTGGGGGAGGGGGTTATAAGATCGGCTTCAAATATATAAACAATATGTTTTTATTAAGAGACGATGAGAAAATGCCTGTAGTTTTGAACAACATAAGAGAAAATTTGATGATCTTCGGCAAGCACTATATTCTTTCCAAATGTAAAGTGATAGCCCAAGAAAAATCTCAAGCCAAAATCAATTCAAAAGGAAATTGGTGGTATTGACCATTGATAGACTGATCATTAGTAAAACTTTGAGACACGCGAAAAGCTAATTTATCATTTGACAGTTCCTGTAAACTATATAATCTTTTATATTTATACTAGGCGAATGTCTCTAGACGATGAATGAATAAGGTCGTGAATTTGTGTGGTCTAATGTAGATGAGATATGCACTGAACGACTCACAGAAATCAGAACTTTCTGGTCTATCTCAACGAGGTAATTAAGTAAATAATTAGAGGTTTAAAGTGATAGGGTTAGAAATCAAAAAAAGGGTGTAAAAATATCCCTTCATCTTATCAAAATCATGAAAACCTTATTGATCACTGTTTAAATGACTTCCCAGTTTTATATTCATATATTTCAATTTAATCTCTTTTTATCCTATCGAACTGTGGTAATGAGATCTGATGCACTTTATAAAGTTAAAAGTTGTGTTCACTTGATTATGAAATCAGAAATAATGACTTGGTTATCACATTGTGCACTGCCGTGTGACTATGCCTGAAAAAGTAATCTAACAGTTATTATGTAATTCGTCAAACACGAGTTTATTTTGGAAAAATTTGAAACTTTGGTGTCAAACTAATATGGAACATACCATCCTAGATACACTTTTTTGAAACTCAGTACCAAAGAACGAGTAGGTGAACAAGACATATTACACAACAATAAATCAACAATAGATTAACCAAGTAATCTTTTGAAGGTCTTCAAGTGAAATTAAAAGCACATTTTTTAAATATAACAGGCTGCTATTCGATCCCAGCAACGGAAAAATATAATGTAATACCTTGTCACTCAAACCAAAATAAACAAACCTCACCTCCAACAAACCCATGACCGCCTGAACCAATTTCTTGATGTGCGGGATTGAGATGAATGCTACTTTTCACCTTTTTCAATATTTCCATTCCATCTATATCAGAATTGGGATGAACAATACCCAAAGCACACTTCTCTCCAACAAAGCCGCGTGAATGGTATTCATTTATTTGATCAATCGAATGAGAACCGACACGATCAGCCGGTGAAATCAGTGAATACCCTAAACCACATCCCGAATCACTAGTACCGAAAGCCGCTTCATGTAGCAACTCCATACCCACTTGACAGAAGAGAAGATAAAGATGGTAAATGAGACCAAAAATAAATTTCATATAAAAGATTTCAAAGTAAAAAAAGTTCGCTTGATAAGTTTTGATGAAACAATTAAAGGTACCAGTTTATTAGAACTGTGTGGTACGTTAGAGTAATATATTTAGAACAGTTCGGTAATGCCCGAAAATCCAACAACCTCATCTCATATTTCAATGCCTAACGGATAGATCAAAAGCGTTCCGTAGACCGAAACCTGTTTCAGTAAGGTAGAATATTTATCTGAACACTGATCACGCCTTTATCGATCATATATCAACAAAAAAGGATTAGAATATCTAAACTGAGTATTTGTTATCAACACAAATCATCGCAAAAATGTACTGAAATTCCATGAAGTGGTTACACTGAATAATTGACTATAACGGAATTTTAACCTAGTCAATACTGATTTGCCTCTATTAGGTTGTAATTGAAGACCACACACCCCTAATACATGGCCACCTTCTATTAGTTGGACAGGACTATTCTCTGAGATTGTCCGTAAAAGGGTGTGTACGAAGAATCTATTAACATCTTAGACTATGCACACAAACACCTCAGGTAAAGTGAGGACGTACAACCATCTCTCTCCATCTCTCCAATTCAACAGTGGAGTTAGTCAGGGTTGCCCACTCTCACCATCTTCAAATTTGCCATCGATGACATTTTGGAAACGTGTCTCATGGAAGTAGGGAATGTCGTATATATGTTATCTAGAGAAAGACATTTTGACCTTGAGTATGTAGATAATAATCTTACTGTGAGATGATACTCAAACTATGCAATTTGAATAATAAATATATAACTATCTACCCAATGTTCAATTTATTTGAACCTTGGCGTTGATGCCTATATACAATCTGAACTTAATCAGCTGGGAAGCAATGTCAGTAGATTTGGCATTTTCTTTGCACCCTCTAAGTGCAAAGCACTTCTACAAGACTAACAGGAGCCTGTGTCTATACTCACTTTTTGCGGTAATCCGTTAGCAGTAGTTGGAAAGTTCGTGTATTTTAGTAGCTGTGTAAGCGCTACTGGTGGTGTGACTGATGAGATTAATTTACGTTTAGTGAATGCCAGAGCAACCCATGCCAACCTGAGTGACCTTGGGAGTCGTTGTGATGTTAGTTTGGCTGTAAAATATCAGAATTTACAACACGTCGATGAAAGTAGCTTTGCTCCATGCTTTTGAAGCTCGACCCATCCGAGTTGAGGATGTTCGACGACTCTCTATATTTGACCATCGTTGTCTCCGAAGGGTTGCTGACATTTAATGACAACAATGTTAGTAATGAGGAGGTTTGGAGACGTGTGTTCGGCCACAGTGATTGGTGTTACAATTTCAAAACACCGGCTTCTACACCGTGCAGTAATTGCCGACACCCAGACTGGGAGGAAAAAGCGGACAGTTGGTCAGTTTATGGCATGGCACCGTGGCATGAAAGCTGGATAGGATTAGTATCTATTAATCCATCACGGCTCCTTGGTTGGGGTTCCAGTGTTGATCCAATTCAGTGGCTTAAGGCGTTACCAGACAATTGACAAAGGAAATGAGACAAGTTGACTTGACGGGAAGAATTATGTCTTGGTTGCACTTTAAACCGAACTGTATCTCTTGTTACAATCTATTCTTGTTCACTTATTTTCCATTCAACGCACTCGTCCCCCTTTATCTCTTAAAAACTTAATAATCTTGTTTGTGTGGCGAATTTTCGGTGCATCATTATACCATAAATTTATGCGCTTCAAAAAGATATAAAAAACAGGGTGGATTTTGTGTGACACAATTTGATATATCATATTTTTGATTAACTTTATCTTCTAATTAAAGTTTTAGGTAATAAAATATAATAGCATTTTTATGTATAAGATGACGTCACTTGACCAATAAGTCAACTTACATTCATTTAAATTGCGTCGGTTGAGAATATCAACATCTTTACTCATTAACTTGTAGACAATATCTTTCAGTTCCCATGCATAATAACATGGAGATGAAGCCATAGAGCATAAAAGGAAACCAGCGCGGGAAGCAAAGTTTGGTGCAACATCTACTGTGTAAATCATATGTTCACGAGTCGTAGCGCACCTGCATACAAAATCAGAATGATTATCAAAATAGTATAATACTGGATAGAGTTATGACTGTGAACATCCAGTCACTTGGAGTTTAATAGTTATTGAAGCGAGTCGTTTTAAAGTCAACACAACATTTATAAGGAATCTAATGCTGAATATATTCTAGTTATGAACGATGATTTTCAAAAGTTTATCTCCGGTTAGATAATGGTTACCAAATAATTACGAATGTCAAAATTGAGTTAATACAGGTAAGCGGGACGTCGAAACAAAAATAAACTGGGACGGTCATTCAATTAGTGATTAAGATAAGCAAAACTCATTACACAAAAGCTAGAAAGAAAAAACTAAGTTCAGTTTTTGCATTACAGTCATGAAGAACAAGTTCCACACACAAAAAGCTGCACTGGGTGGCTTGCCGGACGGGAAACCTACAGCTTCACAATCATCAATGCATCCTTCAAAACAAAGAGGAGCAGAATAATAATGAATACCACTCAGTGCTACACACCTACCAACAATGGCAGCGAACTTGATAAACACCAGTTTTATGAGACCGTAGTCTATCCTAGAAAAGTGCACAAAAAAGATCTGAGCATCCTGATGAGGGACCTAACTGCCAAGGTCGGAACGAGCAACACTGGGTACGAACACATCATGAGGTGACATAGACTGGGAGAAAAAAAAACGAGAATGACAGCAGACTGGTAGATCTATGTGCTCCTTTTAGGGATGGTGAAAAACTTCCGGACAACAAATCGATTGAGTTGTTTGGAAAAGCTTGTCAAATAGAGAGTGATCCAACATCTTGAAATGAGGTAACCATCGTTCTCATCACTGGAAACGACTTGAAATGATTTATGCAACAACTATAGGTGGAAAAGTGTACTTCTGAATGATGGATGCCAACATTTTGGACGCATACCTGGTTGGTGGATATGGAGAATCCATCTAGGAGAGATGGGAAATTCTGGTTCTAAAACAATGGTGTATATGGGTTCAAGGATCCGGAAGAATCGAATGGTGTATAAACCTATTCATGGTCATCGGTCACCAAGAGACTACAACTCCTGAGTTTACCACCCTGTGGGTTAAACCTTTAGTTCAGAGGTTAGTGGAGTGCCGCTCAAAGAAAGCCACCTACTTCGGGCCAGCCTCCTGGGAAGTATCCTAGCCCACACATAACTAGAAAGATAATTATCAATGAAGGAAACCCTTTTACTCGCTCTCGTTAGCTAAATAAATAAACGACTTTAGCGAGTACTTAATTATGAGGAAATTCATGTCAAGCTTTATTACCCCTTTATTGCTTGTCATTTCCATTCTCTGTTCACTTTTACTTCAAAAGTCACATAACAGCTCATCTATAGTGGAAATTCTGACATACCTGAAAGATCTCAAACCACTTAGTGATCAAAAGTTGGATGCTACCATCGAATATGTGTGATTTCGAACCAACCCTTCTGAAACCACGTGTCATCCAACCTGGCCTCCCTTAACGTTCGCACACTAATGAAGATCGGACAACAGATAGGTTAAGCTATCTTTAAAACATCTTAATATTGACGTATGTTGTCAGTATGAGATCTATATCCAAGACTCTAGTGAACTACTAAACATTCACTATCCATCTGTCGATTAGAAAAGCTTGTTTCATATGTGCTAACTCGGAGGTCCTGTGATAAATACGTCCAGTTTTTATAGCATTCATGTTGCTCTAAGCGGCAAAACGAAGGCAGCTCTAAACGAGAAAATCCCCAATAACAATCGCTTGTGTGCTGTTAGATTAAAAAGCCCCACCAAAGTGAAAAGAGGTTAGAGTGAAGAGCGATGACTTTTCGCCGTTTCCGCTTACTACAAGTGATCTCAATAAAGAGCGTTTGAAAGATTTTGTTGTGCTGACCAGAAATTTGCATGCCCAGTTCCTGTCCAGACAAAAAAAAGAGAGTCATTTAAATGGACAATGAGGACTAGTTGGTCACAGGTCAGATAATGTAGGTCGTTTCCAACAGCGTTCCGTAGACCAAAACCAGTTTCTGGAAGGTAAAGTATTTATCTGAACACTGATCACGCCTTCGTTAGTACTAATTCTATCTTCGTTTCAGTGCCTAACAAATTCATCATCCTCAACAGACTGGCTTAAGCAAATTAGTTGTAGCTTTCAATACAACCAAATATTAAACGCAGCTAGATTCAAAATTAGATATCAACCCATATGCATCTGGTACCCTTTTGTACCAATATGTATGTGTTTAAATAAATAAAGATATCAACCCACAGAAAAATCTACGTGAGTATCCGGTATATCTGTACAACGCGATGATAATGGAGAGTAAAGTCACAAGCAGTTTTGAGAAAAGTCCCACTTAAAAGCAATTGGCTGAAAAATGTTTCTCACGACTCCTTAAGGTAAGTCGGTCTACCCCAGATAACTGCAGGTTTGACGGTAAAGATAGATTTCGTAGTGAAATTGTGGAGAAGTTGTGTAAGAACTAAGAAGCACGGTACATAGAGCATACTAACGAGTTGAAAACAACGGGTGCATTTGGTAAAAACTAGAAGATTTATCAACTGGTCAGTGGCAGTGGAAAGTCTGGTGTAAGTGAAACAATAGGTGAAGCATATCCGGCGTAAATCAAAAAAACCTAGTGAAGTACTTCACGATGATCGGAGTTCATTAACACAATTTATTTAATCTGATAGCCCAGTGGTATCGATTAAATAGCCCTACTATCTATGGCAGTGACAAATAAACCACCTACTGAGATGGAAGTAAGTCACGAACTCCAAACTCGCAGGTTCTGAAACCTCCAAACCCAGAAGACTTACCTATGACCATTTTTAAGGGTGACGACAAAACTCCTGGTCAAAAAACTGAGATGTTTGCAAAAGTATCGGAATAAGAGCATATTTCAACACCCTGGAATGAAGTAACAGTCTCCCATGTCTTTAAAAAGGGCTTACGTCACCCATACAACAACTATCGGGATATAAGTCTACTTACGATTGCGTCCAAACAATTGCCGAAGATCGTACTTTCGAGGTTGTTCAGAGCCCAGGAGCAGGTAGGTTTCCCATCTGGTCGAAAATGCATTAACAATACCGTAATCCTCGGTTAGATGTTAAGTCACTGACATGCTGACTTACGAGCCAACAATCGTTGCTTCTTAATATCAGGGTGATATATTTATGCGTTGTCTTGAGGTTAGCTACCCCAACTTCAACACCGCGAACGAAACCATTTTATTCTCTTCCCTTTTCTCCCCCACTAACTAGACTAAAAACACTAGTCTTGAAGATAAAGGTTTTGAAGTTAACCCATTATAATCAATCAAAATACATTAAGTGTATCGATCATATATCAACAAAAAAGGATTAGAATATCTAAACTGAGTATTTGTTATCAACACAAATCATCGCAAAAATGTACTGAAATTCCATGAAGTGGTTACACTGAATAATTGACTATAACGGAATTTTAACCTAGTCAATACTGATTTGCCTCTATTAGGTTGTAATTGAAGACCACACACCCCTAATACATGGCCACCTTCTATTAGTTGGACAGGACTATTCTCTGAGATTGTCCGTAAAAGGGTGTGTACGAAGAATCTATTAACATCTTAGACTATGCACACAAACACCTCAGGTAAAGTGAGGACGTACAACCATCTCTCTCCATCTCTCCAATTCAACAGTGGAGTTAGTCAGGGTTGCCCACTCTCACCATCTTCAAATTTGCCATCGATGACATTTTGGAAACGTGTCTCATGGAAGTAGGGAATGTCGTATATATGTTATCTAGAGAAAGACATTTTGACCTTGAGTATGTAGATAATAATCTTACTGTGAGATGATACTCAAACTATGCAATTTGAATAATAAATATATAACTATCTACCCAATGTTCAATTTATTTGAACCTTGGCGTTGATGCCTATATACAATCTGAACTTAATCAGCTGGGAAGCAATGTCAGTAGATTTGGCATTTTCTTTGCACCCTCTAAGTGCAAAGCACTTCTACAAGACTAACAGGAGCCTGTGTCTATACTCACTTTTTGCGGTAATCCGTTAGCAGTAGTTGGAAAGTTCGTGTATTTTAGTAGCTGTGTAAGCGCTACTGGTGGTGTGACTGATGAGATTAATTTACGTTTAGTGAATGCCAGAGCAACCCATGCCAACCTGAGTGACCTTGGGAGTCGTTGTGATGTTAGTTTGGCTGTAAAATATCAGAATTTACAACACGTCGATGAAAGTAGCTTTGCTCCATGCTTTTGAAGCTCGACCCATCCGAGTTGAGGATGTTCGACGACTCTCTATATTTGACCATCGTTGTCTCCGAAGGGTTGCTGACATTTAATGACAACAATGTTAGTAATGAGGAGGTTTGGAGACGTGTGTTCGGCCACAGTGATTGGTGTTACAATTTCAAAACACCGGCTTCTACACCGTGCAGTAATTGCCGACACCCAGACTGGGAGGAAAAAGCGGACAGTTGGTCAGTTTATGGCATGGCACCGTGGCATGAAAGCTGGATAGGATTAGTATCTATTAATCCATCACGGCTCCTTGGTTGGGGTTCCAGTGTTGATCCAATTCAGTGGCTTAAGGCGTTACCAGACAATTGACAAAGGAAATGAGACAAGTTGACTTGACGGGAAGAATTATGTCTTGGTTGCACTTTAAACCGAACTGTATCTCTTGTTACAATCTATTCTTGTTCACTTATTTTCCATTCAACGCACTCGTCCCCCTTTATCTCTTAAAAACTTAATAATCTTGTTTGTGTGGCGAATTTTCGGTGCATCATTATACCATAAATTTATGCGCTTCAAAAAGATATAAAAAACAGGGTGGATTTTGTGTGACACAATTTGATATATCATATTTTTGATTAACTTTATCTTCTAATTAAAGTTTTAGGTAATAAAATGTAATAGCATTTTTATGTATAAGATGACGTCACTTGACCAATAAGTCAACTTACATTCATTTAAATTGCGTCGGTTGAGAATATCAACATCTTTACTCATTAACTTGTAGACAATATCTTTCAGTTCCCATGCATAATAACATGGAGATGAAGCCATAGAGCATAAAAGGAAACCAGCGCGGGAAGCAAAGTTTGGTGCAACATCTACTGTGTAAATCATATGTTCACGGATTGTAGAGCACCTTTTAATTATCCGTTGTTGTCCACTGTATGAGGAAGTGTCCTGGTTGTCGGAGTTAGAGTGCCACGTGAATAAAATACACTTAATATTATTAAAATCCTTCATCTTGGGTATATTAATGCTTTTAAAATTTACCACGAGTTGTTATATCTCTATCACGTCGTACTTTTGGTTTTTCCATTGCATTAGAATTTGCATATTTTACATAATAAATAATGAATCGAATATTTCTGCATAAGGGTCGTGATTACATTTCGACGATTGCATTCGTTAAACGAAGCGGAGACCAGTTCTGCGGTTTAGGTTCGAATGGTCAAAGTTAAAGCAACCGCTTACTGAATTAATACCATTTACATAGTGAAAAAACAGTCACGCTTGCCTAAAGCTATGAATAATCACCTAGAGTAACTAAGATAATCTTATCATGCTGCATCATTCGAATAATTTTCGACAGCTTCTGAGAAAATCAATTCCACAAACATGTAAGATCCAGTCAGCAAGCAAAAAAACCAATCAGTGCTTGCAATATAACCTAATTAAGACGTAAATTTTTCCTGTTCGATAAACTTACTACTGTACTTGTATAGATATGGATACTGATTATAGAACATGCAGATATTTGTAAAATAAAACGAAACCTTTTAGTCCTATTCGGAACGTTTCGAGATGATAAGAACAGAGTAAGCTAAACTTTGGAGTAGCTGATGATTGGTTCAAAAAGCATATGCTACAGTGAACAATCCACCTAATTATAGTGCGCACGTTTAGTCAGCAAAGGTAAACCTAAAACGTAGGCCAACCGATGTCTTTAAAAAGTCCCGTTTGGGAGTCGACCCCATAAATTAATGTTTCGTAAGTAGTAAGTGCTCCAAAAAAGTTAAATCTTCATAATAGCTTTATTTGTTCGATGGCTAATGACTAAATCCTTAATAAGATAAATTTCCTTATGTGGTATTTAGTCAATGAACCCAAACAATTCACCGTTTCAGTTGTCAAATGAGTATGATTATTTTTGTTCATGTAAACGAATACAGATATATTTACACGGAAATACTTCCGAGATGAATGATCGGATTTTGGTGGCTATAAAAGAACCTCTTATCTTATTTGAATCAATCATTGTCGTCAAGCTGTTATAGTCCCACAAAGCAAAAGAAACTATTGAAAATCAAATAAAACTTATAGTCCTATGAAAGAGGCATACTTACTGTACACGAGCACCCATCTGTTGAAAGTGTCTTGTTAAATTAACACTAGTTAATTCAGGAGTGGACATTCCAAAGCTTCGACGTACTAGATGACTAATACCACGATTTTTCGAGGATTCATATCGCGAACCAGATTTTACGACTAGTGCGATCCGTGTACATCCAAAGCCAAGTGACAGCTGTGGTAAACTGACAAGCTGAAAATGTTTCCATAGGAAACCAAGATAAACAAGTTTCATATCGTTTCAATGATCTTTGTGATAAAGGTCTAATGTTACTAGAAAACCTATAACATTTTCTTGAAGTAAAATAAGGTGTTATTATTTCAATCAGTAATGAGAAACGTAAAAACTAAGACATATGTCCATCGGTTCAATTTTCGACACCATATCAGTACAGCAATAAAGTTATCAAGATGAATACCAAAGTAGTGATATAAGCGATATTAAATAGTAACACCATACATAAATAATATTATTCAAAAACTAATTCACGGAATAAAAATTACGAGATAATTCTAAGACTCAGGATTTAAGTGACGATAAAGAGTGAATACATATGTACCACAGTGACCGGTTTAGAGCCATATCATCCGTTTGTAACCATTGGTTACGATAATCTCGCAGAGAGCTTGTACCCTACTAACGCGACTCAAGTCCAACCACCAATGACCAATGGCACATCTTGGATCGGTTTCTCTTGGCTTTCTTCTAACTTAAGCCCACATAGCCAAGCATCATGAGCCAAGGTACGTCACTACTCAGTGATAAATCTATGTAAATATCTTGTTCTTACAGGTTAGTCGAGGTCCGAATAGTGAAGTGGTAGTCTCAGATTGTGAAAATGGGTGATTCGGGTTCCAACCTACTAGCAGGTATCATTTTCCTCATGACTAAACGTTCGTTACCAAATACCACACTAGTATGAAACCTAGGTCAAGGGAATCCTGGCAACTACCTCCCATTATTTAACATCATAAAATAAATTTTACCTGACAAGCTAGCAAGTTTGAAGTTATATATCGTTTTTTTTAGGAAAATATACCACATGTTCATAAGGGGTGACACCACCAAGTACATTATATATCAACCACCGTTTGCATTACAATATTTTATACATTTAAATTAAATTAATCAAGAAATTTTGTAATAAATTTAGCGCATGAATGTAACGAAATAGACATTCCCAAAACACAAAAACAACATTAACTAACTAACCGTTATAGCGAGAAACATGGGAACGCATAAAAGTACACCATACTAAGCTGCTACACTTCGCAACGGAAAATTATTAAGATAGACTAAAAACATGACTAGGTTATGATTAAATAGCTTGGGTGATAAATATTTTGAGATACCGATAAATACAAACGACGTTCATGATAATAAATATATTTTTGTCATATCCCAATGAGCAGAAAACATTGTATCCGTGACTTAGTGTAAGCCACTTCTTCAAAGTAAATAAACAACCAGATTAAATTAGAATTAAACTTGTGTTAATTCGGTTATTTATTTTCTCTGAAGAAGTAGCTTACACTAAGTCACGAATACAATTTTTTCTGCTCATTGAGATATAACGGAAAATGTTTTTACTATTAACTTTCCACCCAATGCTCAACTCATTTGAAACTATCAGTGAGACTATAATTTATGGACGATCTTTGAGAGACGCCAAAGTGACCTTGAAAGTTTCTACCTACTTATTAGGGCTAAATGAGGGTTATAAAGCAGTTTGAAGAATAAGGATGATGATTCACAGTTTGTTAGGGTTAGGAATTAGATTTACGGTCTTTCATCACGAACTGAAATCAGCTAAAATACAGAGATGCTATTTGGCCAAATGGGCGTGTGAATTTCGCGCTAAAATCTAGGACTTGTTATCTCAAATCTGATTGGTTCGTCCATTAATTATAATGTTGCCAAACTATCACTGATCCACTAAAACCCTGAAAAACAGAAATATCGATTCTTAAGCAATTTTAACGATAACTAACACATTCACCAGGTACCTGGATATGAGGTCAACTCTAAGTGTGAGGGATAGATAAGCCAGCCACTTTCCTAAACCGAAGGCAGAGTGGGATTTGAACCTGGTACTTAGTGGCTGAAAGTCGGACACCTCAACCACCAGGCCAGAATGTTAATTCTTAGAGCTGATAACTAACCGAACCAAACTTTCACAAATACGCCGAGTAACAACTAACAGTACAAATTGTGTATAACGACATTAAGATCAACCAATTTTCTGTAATACCGATTCCTGTAACTTAACTAAAAAACGGTCGTAACTTTTTAGTACTGTTAACTTTGTTAAACCGATATCAGTTCCCAATATTTATGTGTTCAAATAAATGTGCCTTTACGTCAAAGGCACCGAGTGTGGCCTCCTAAGAAAACCACCTGCTTTGGTCTGGATACACGAGCAGTATCATAGCCCCCACACAATTAAATGAAATGACGATTTTTGTGTGGTGTATATCTATTTGGTGCCCCCTTATACCAATATTTGCGTTCAAATAAATAAATAAATTAGTTCCCATATCAGAGATGAGGAACAGTGACTTGCAACCACAGAGCTCCTTGCTCTATAAAACCAACCGGTTAAGATATAAGGCATACATTATCCCATACGATTTATGAAAAAGGTTGCACATTATAGCGATCTCGTCATTTGATAGCGAAAGATATGAAGCGGTGAGGTTTAAACTGGAATGTAAAGAACAGGATATCCAATTAATGGCTTATATTGTAGCTCTGAATCTAATGAGTCCCTTCTAGGTAAAATGTAATCCTGGTAACATGGAAAAAACCTTACAGTGAATAACTTTAGCACACTCCCTACTAATTGGGTAGACCATTGGACAGAATCACCAACAAATTCGTTCGATCACGAATTACTGGAATCCTTATTATCATTAGCTTTTATCCAGCATATCAAAGATGGGACTGGATACAACCCTCGATACTCTACGTCAATTGCATACTTGAGTTTCTCATAGAAAACCTTGGGGAAAGTGACCAAACATTCATCGTATTTACTTTCCTTGCCGCTATAACCCACCGTATTGCTACACTAGCCCGTCCTAACAACTGGGAAGCTGACATAGTGTGGATAAACTTAATGGTTGATTCAAAAGACTGAAAAGTTGAAATTGATTCAGAAACCTCATTTGAAGGAGCTCAATAATCAGGTGACGGAACCGTTTTTAACTAGTTCAATCTCAAAGGAAAAAAACACCGCCATCCACTAGTCCAATCAAGAAATTCTTTGTTCGCTGCTGCAGAAGAAACAACACTGAGAAGTCGCTGCAAAGCAATATCCAGGCAGTCCGTACAGAATGCACATATGTCAAAAGAGACTGATCAACTGCAGTCATGAATATCAGTGAACAGATTCAAGCAACTAACATTTCGGAATTCTTTAATAAGGGTGAGTGTGGAAGGAAAATCTCAATATACGCGGAAATCAGAGTGGTGATCTAGCAACGTAATACCAACACTTGTAAATAAAATAATAGTCTATTATTAATATTATTCATTATCTAAACACATAAACATTGGTACAAGGAAGCACCAAATAAATCATTCGATTTGCGTGAGAGCTGGGATACTGTTCAGGTGCCCAGACAAAGCAAGTGATTTTTTAAGGGCTCACACTCGGAGCCTTTTACATGAAGGCCTAATCCAAAAGGCAGCGGAGCATCGTAAGGAGATGCAGTCCCATGATAGCCGGAGACCAATAATTGGTTCATATGCCATTTATTCCCTCAGGATACTGAAGCCCATCTGCACTATTGTTTTGAAATCAGGGTTTTCCAACTCCCATAGGTGGACTTTCCGTGTCCACCAACCCGGTTATAGCTTCAGACATTCGCTTTTCGTCCTCTCAATTTCGTAAACAATACTTCAGACGTGAGAAGGCAGTGAGCAAGACTTCTCCGGCAGTAGTTGTATGCACGTAGCCACGTAAGGGCATTTCGAGAGGGAGGGCTGACTCTCCGCAACTTACTGAGTAATACTAACTTCATGTACTTCCACTTTGCGTGGCGTTGCTAGATTCCTGCAACGAATTTTTCGGTTTCAAATTCATACAAACCCTGTTCATTTTATAGAGCGTTAATGAATTTCTATATTTCTGGATGAATGGGCTCACCGAGTTGATTAGAACCATTATCGATTCCCCAACACACTATTCGCCTTAGGAAGGTCATCCACAACAATACTGCGAGTGTCCCACAGTACTATATGGAAATTTGTATCTCTACCAATAAATGTGGAAGTTACTAAAAATACGATCACACGGCTTAAAACGATATCACTGATACGAAAATTTTATTCGCTAGAACGTCTTTAAAATAGCTCGCTAATGTTTCAATTTCTTGTTAATTCTATATGCACGATCGTAACTCCAACAAAATGTCAAATCCAGTAACGATATCTGCGACCGACACAACGTTAATGCTGCCAACTGACGGACCTACAAAATGAAGCCTTTTTATATGTCGTATAACGTTGCTGAAGGTTTGATCACTGCTGCAGTCTCCGCCAGATACATTAGCTTATAGGAAACAGTTAGTCAGCTACAACGTGTGGTCAGGCACCTATATGCATCAGTCCAAGTTACCATACCTCATTAGCACAAAATAAACACCAACTTCATAGAAGTAGTTACTTCAATGGTAGAAATATATAAAAGAAAGATTGTGCATAAGGATATAATACAGGAAGAAAGAATTAGTTCGTAGAAAGAAAGGTGTAATTAATTTTAATCTCACGGTTTAAGGGAAAAAAACCATTGTGACCGATTCTGAGCCATGTCATCCAGAGTCTCCAACCATTAGTTACGATAGTCGCGCGGACTAAATAGTCTGCATCTACCAACACGACTCAGATCAGAAGTTAGTGACTTCAAACACTGATGCCATGTTTTGGTTTGGCCGTCCCTAACATTCTTCCAACCATCCCCTACACTAGTCAGCATTGCGCGTTGTGGGAATCGGTGTTCAGGCATACGTAACAC